CCTCTACTCCCAATAGAAGCGGAGATATCGACGGATGAAGGCTGGATATCGACGGAGAAAGGTTAGAAAACTTTAACCTTCGATATCTCCTAAACAGTTAGAGATACAGGCTTCGGACAGGTACCAAATTAAAGCCCTTTCAAAACCCTACATTTTGGACTACATGGACGACCCTCTACTCCCAATAGAAGCGGAGATATCGACGGATGAAGGCTGGATATCGACGGAGAAAGGTTAGAAAACTTTAACCTTCGATATCTCCTAAACGGTTAGAGATACAGGCTTCGGACAGGTACCAAATTAAAGCCCTTTCAAAACCCTACATTTTGGACTACATGGACGACCCTCTACTCCCAATAGAAGCGGAGATATCGACGGATGAAGGCTGGATATCGACGGAGAAAGTTAGAAAATTTAACCTTCGATATCTCCTAAACAGTTAGAGATACAGGCTTCGGACAGGTACCAAATTAAAGCCCTTTCAAAACCCTACATTTTGGACTACATGACGACCTCTACTCCCAGTAGAAGCGGAGATATCGACGGATGAAGCTGGATATCGACGGAGAAAGGTTGAAAACTTTAACCTTCGATATCTCCTAAACGGTTAGAGATACAGGCTTCGGACAGGTACCAAATTAAAGCCCTTTCAAAACCCTACATTTTGGACTACATGGACGACTCTCTACTCCCAGTAGAAGCGGAGATATCGACGATGAAGCTGGATATCGACGGAGAAAGGTTGGAAAACTTTAACCTTCGATATCTCCTAAACGGTTAGAGATACAGGCTTCGGACAGGTACCAAATTAAAGCCCTTTCAAAACCCTACATTTTGCACTACATGGACGACTCTCTACTCCCAGTAGAAGCGGAGATATCGACGGAGAAAGGTTGGGAAAACTTTAACCTTCGATATCTCCTAAACGGTTAGAGATACAGGCTTCGGACAGGTACCAAATTAAAGCCCTTTCAAAACCCTACATTTTGACTACATGACGACTCTCTACTCCCGTAGAAGGGAGAATCGACGGATGAAGAGGATATCGACGGAGAAAGGTTGGAAAACTTTAACCTTCGATATCTCCTAAACGGTTAGAGATACAGGCTTCGGACAGGTACCAAATTAAAGCCCTTTCAAAACCCTACATTTTGCACTACATGGACGACTCTCTACTCCCAGTAGAAGCGGAGATATCGACGGAGAAAGGTTGGAAAACTTTAACCTTCGATATCTCCTAAACGGTTAGAGATACAGGCTTCGGACAGGTACCAAATTAAAGCCCTTTCAAAACCCTACATTTTGCACTACATGGACGACTCTCTACTCCCAGTAGAAGCGGAGATATCGACGGAGAAAGGTTGGAAAACTTTAACCTTCGATATCTCCTAAACGGTAGAGATACAGGCTTCGGACAGGTACCAAATTAAAGCCCTTTCAAAACCCTACATTTTGGACTACATGGACGACCCTCTACTCCCAGTAGAAGCGGATATCGACGGAGAAGGATGATTCGAAAATTGGAAACTTAACCTTCGATATCTCCTAACGGTTAGAGATACAGGCTTCGGACAGGTACCAAATTAAAGCCCTTTCAAAACCCTACATTTTGGACTACATGGACGACTCTCTACTCCCAGTAGAAGCGGAGATATCGACGGAGAAAGGTTGGAAAACTTTAACCTTCGATATCTCCTAAACGGTTAGAGATACAGGCTTCGGACAGGTACCAAATTAAAGCCCTTTCAAAACCCTACATTTTCGACTACATGGCAAACTCTCTACTCCCAGTAGGAGCGGAGATATCGACGGAGGAAGGCTGGATATCGACGGAGAAAGGCTGGAAAACTTTAACCTACGATATCTCGTAAACGGTTAGAGATACAGGCCTGGCTCTGGTACCAAATTAAAGTCCTCTCAAAACCCTACATTTTGCCGCAAATGGCGACTATCTACTCCCAGTAGAAGCGGAGATATCAACGGAGAAATGTTGGAAAACTTTAATCCTCGATATCTCCTAAGCGGTTAGAGATACAGGCCTGGCTCTGGTACCAAATTAAAGTCCTTTCAAAACCCTACATTTTCGACTACATGGCAAACTCTCTACTCCCAGTAGAAGCGGAGATATCAACGGAGAAAGGTTGGAAAACTTTAATCTTCGTTATCTCCTAAATGGTTCGAGATACAGGAACGCGCTTTTGTAAAAATATAGTTCTATATCGTCTCTATTCTCAACATAAAGCTGGATTATCAGTTCCCAGTAGGGATAGAGATATTAGCAGTATAATTTAAAAATGTAACCTTGTGTGTTTCCTAAACTGCTCAAGATATGGGAACGTGCTTTTGTCACAATATAGTTCTATGTCAACCCTATTCTCACCATAAGGCTCGACTTTCAATTCGCAATAGAAACGGAGATATTAACATTAAAATTAAATAATTTAACCTTCGATATCTGCTAAACAGTTGAATATACAGGAACGCTCTTTTGACACTGTATAATCCTGTATCAACCCTATTCTCACTGTGAAGCTCGACTCTCAGTTCCCAATAGAAACGGAGATATTAACAGTGAAATTGAAAAATGTTAACCTTCGATATCTCCTAACCGGTTAAAGTTACAGGAACGCGTCTTTGTCTCCTAAACGGCTCAAAATGCAGGGACGTGCTTTACCACAATATAGTCCTAAATTAACCCTAATCTCAGCATGAAGCTCGACTTTCAATATATCAACGTAGTTCCCTTTTAAAAATGGATGCTGATGGCGCCTTTTCTCAGTGTGGAAAGTCGGTGTCGTCGAAAACGTTGTGGCCACTCTCATGTTCCTCTCTGTTAAGGCTATCACACATATTTTCCAGAAGACCACCGACGAGATATTATAAAGACTTTTAGTCTTACGGAATTTAGCGTACCAGAGAAATCTCGCTGTACATTAGCGCCTTCTTAGGAGTACTGTCGACGGAATATGAAACATAGTCTGAAATAAGCATGGATGGTAACAGATATGTAATAATGAGAAAAAGATGTCGGAAAGTATCAAAAGACTATCAATACGGAAAACTGGTCAAATGTGTGTGTGAGTGACTCCTAGGATTGCGAGATGTGAGAAAATTTGAAATAATTTTTATTTTAAATATATAGCACATGTTTTGTGTGCGTGTCGCGCGCGCGTGCGCGGCGTGTGCGGATGTGTGTGTGTGTGTGTGTGTCAGTGTGTGTAGCATTCCTTGAGTTAATAATTCGAATTTCTACTTCTATAATACTAAAATTGCGGTTGAAAACATGTTCAGAATGTTTCACGAATTCCTCGCTCCGAGGAATTCATGGAGACATAGAGTGGATTAAAATAAATGTAAATACCCATATCATTTTGCGATATTCGCAATAACTCTCGAGTTATTAATTACAGGAATGTAACGATTGAGCACGCGCCGTGATGATATCAAAAAAGCATCGAAGCCGCTCGGCCCAAAGCGCGGCTCACTTATAGCGATTGTTGCCAGCACGCGGCGAGGAGAAGGACAATGTGCTACCCCTTGTATTTTATCTCGCCGCTACTCGTGTTTTATCGTCGTCGTCGTCGTCGTCGTCGTCCGTCCGTCGTCGTCGTCGTCGTCGTCGTCGTCGTCCGTCGTCGTCGTCGTCGTCGTCGTCGTCGGTCGTCGTCCGTCGTCGTCGTCGTCCGTCGTCGTCGTCGTCGTCGGTCGTCGTCGTCGTCGGTCGTCGTCGTCGGTCGTCGTCGTCGTCGTCGTCGTCGTCGTCGTCGTCGTCGGTCGTCGTCGTCGGTCGTCGTCGTCGTCGTCGTCGTCGTCGTCGTCGGTCGTCGTCGTCGTCGTCGTCGTCGTCGGTCGTCGTCGGTCGTCGTCGTCGTCGTCGTCGTCGTCGTCGTCCGTCGTCGTCGTCGTCGGTCGTCGTCGTCGTCGTCGTCGTCGTCCGTCGTCGTCGTCGTCCGTCGTCCGTCGTCCGTCGTCGTCGTCGTCGTCGGTCGTCGTCGGTCGGTTCGTCGTCGTCGGTCGGTCGTCCGTCCGTCGTCCGTCGTCCGGTCGTCGTCGTCGTCGGTCCGTCGTCCGTCCCGTCGTCGTCCGTCGTCCGTCGTCCGTCCGTCGTCGTCGTCCGTCGTCGTCGTCGGTCGTCGTCGTCGTCGTCGTCGTCGTCGTCGTCGTCGTCGTCGTCGTCGTCGTCGTCGTCGTCGTCGTCGTCGTCGTCGTCGTCGTCGTCGTCGTCGTCGTCGTCGTCGTCGTCGTCGTCGTCGTCGTCGTCGTCGTCGTCGTCGTCGTCGTCGTCGTCGTCGTCGTCGTCGTCGTCGTCGTCGTCGTCGTCGTCGTCGTCGTCGTCGTCGTCGTCGTCGTCGTCGTCGTCGTCGTCGTCGTCGTCGTCGTCGTCGTCGTCGTCGTCGTCGTCGTCGTCGTCGTTTTGTTTTAATCTGGATTCGGACTTCCATCAAATTTCAATGAATCTTCAAGATGACGCAAAAATACGTTTAATGTATCAAACGGTTTTTATGAGTGTAAAAAAATGCTTTTCGGTTTAAAAACGTACCTATAATCTTTCAACATTTTATGGATAATGTTTTAACATTAATGTATCGCACTTTTTGATTTATTAAATACTCTAACACACCCAATGTAACATAATATATTTATTTATATAATATGTTACATAGTTTTTATACAATAATAAACATATATGTTAAACGTAAATATTAAGCTGTTTTTAAATAAGACGTGTTAAATACAGTGACGCACATATTTCCTATAAATTAATTATTTACGAATCTTTCTTCGTCAATAAAAACAAACATTTCTTAATAAGATAATAAAATGAAATAAGAAAACCGTAAGAATATATTCATTTTTTAAAAACATAAAACTTAACAATAATTCTGTTACGCATCACTGTTATATTTCGTAACATATCTATAATGATCGTTTTCCTATAAAGGATGCTGTGTTATATAAAGCTATTTTATCTTAGAAAGCTTAGATAATATATAGTCAATAGAATGGCTCTTTATATAACGCCGTGTTTTCTTATCGAAAAATGACCAATAATTTTATATACATACACACAACGAAGTATATGACGATAAAAAGTATTTTTATCAAATCGGAGTAACAAAAGGCAGAGAACGTATTTTCAATACTTGAATAAGGTTGCAGTCTGACTTGATTGTTTATTCTGCTTCTTCACCTCGATAATGTTGAATAGATAAAATATTGTATAGAGCGCGCGGGAAAGTAGATGTCGGCCCAAGAATATGCAGGCGAACTTCGCATTTTTCCAATAGATACATCCATTTTAACTCCTCACGTTGCTCCGCTGTCGTTTCCTGCGATAATTAAGTTCACTTTTTATTTTGCACGAACATATAATCGGGGAAGCAATTTAGCTTTTTAGCCAATTTTATCGCGCGTTTTCGTTTAACATTAAATTAAGTTTTAATTAATTTTAGTGAATTTAAACGGATTACTTGAAACTTGTCGAGAGTGTAGCCCAAAACACGCTCCGCGAAATCACCAGTCAAGCGGCATCCGATGAGATATCCGGTGTCGTCCTTTAAATTGACTTTCACATTTAATTTAACAACGTTTAAAGGTGACTGCATTCCATTACCCGATGGGCAACTTAAATTCATACAAGAATCTTGCACGCTTGTGACGATCTTCTTACACAGAGCGCTAAATGGAATAAGCGCAATAGTAATTAGCATTTTGACGGTGGTTCTTCGATTCTTACTAGATAATGAATATCATGTGAGGAGTGAAGAAAGTAGTACCATTTGATAGATATCACACTGGACAAATCTTCTAGATTCATTTCGGTCACTGAAGCGTTCACGATCGCCGCGAACTGTAATCTTTCGTCATCCGTGCTCGCTTTCTTTTGCAATTTCTCCGTGATTTGCTGTATCGTCATTACAGTCGTGATAGTGTCCGCTATTGATTAACAGAATTAACAGAGAGATGAAATTAACTAACTGTGTGAAATGAGAGAAAAAAGCCAATATTAAATTTCGATATTCAAAATCGTCATTTTGAATTCTTACGATTCGGTACAGCAAACGGGTCGCTGCTTATTGAATCAAGATTGTAATGCTCCACTGCGCTTTTAAGTTCTATTGCCTGCGGTATGCTCGGACATTCTGTGATTAGCGTCCGTCTCGCTGTACACAACATAATACAAATGGACAATTCTTATACAGTTTTGTACGATTATGCAATGTTTGAACATACTAGAAACACATACCTATACTCAGCACCGTTTTCTTCTTATATTCGTCGTATGCGATACGAACATCGGTCAAGAACAATACCGTTTGCTTTGGTTCCCAAAACGCTGATCTTTCGACCCAATCCTTCTCCCACAATATCAAAGAGACCGTACTATCCGTCGATCCATCCGCAATCTCAAAACTGCGACACGTTAAAGACCGTCCATCTCGCGTCATTACGTTACGCGCATCCGCGACCTGCGATAGTCCGTTGCATGATTGAATATTACGATTTTTGTATAACAAGTTTTGTACAACAAAAATATATGTACTATTTTGTATATTGTATAACAAAATATGTATTTTGTATAACAAAAATATATATACTATTTGCAAGATGCATATCATTGATTCTCAAAATTTTGCCGAAAGATTAATATGGCTTTTACTGGACGCGATGAAATACCATCCCAGTCAGAACCATAATGTAGATTCGACGTTGATTTTACGTTGAAATAGTCGATAAATCGTTCATTCAACATTAATTCAACCCTCATTAACGTCGAATCAACATTGTGGTTCTGACTGTGGGTATCTCGACGTTAAATGTATTTTCATTGAAGACTGCAATTTTTCAGTAATATATGCTTCAAGAAACTATATGATCGAATTTGTCGTGTGTGTTACTTATATCATAAAACGTACAAACGTGACCACGACGAAAAGGTCGACGAAATGATCGCACAGAACCTCAATGTTCTCTAGAATGACTTTTAAACTTTTCGCAGACGCGACACTTTTGACGGGCTGCGTCAACAAGCTGACGTATTGTTCGCGAGTGGGAGCATCGTGATGTTGTATAATTGCCGTACCCTCGTTCACGGTCAAAAAGAAAGGACTAGTAGTCGATGGTACGTATTGCTCGTTTTTGTCGTTGGAATGACGTTTCATTATCTTTGCACTTATCACTTCCACTGTAAAACAGAAACCCTCATGAAATAATATCTAAAAAGCAAGTTCATACATATTCTTATTTCTTCTTCGTACCGTTCCAAACTTACTAATTCGCAAAAATCGATTAATCGCATTGCGCGGGAATAAAACTTAATACATTTTTCAGAAACTTGTATTGATCATCTATGATTGCTACGTAATTAATATAAGTTGATTAATAAAGTATATTTACGCACCTACAGATCCCACATTATAAGTGGACGATACTTTCGTTATAAATTCCGAACTACCCCATACCGTCACATTAATAAAATCTTCTTCAGAATCGCGCAAAGTGAATGTCCATACACTACGATCACCTTTGTGAACTACAACAGTCAGCAAATAGGTATAGATATTCTTACAGGAGACTTTCTCGTTTTGTTTTCTTTATTTAAATTGAAAAACAGATTCTACTCAGGAATAAATTTAAAAATAAGTTATTTTCTATATGGATAACTTTGCAGAAGAACAACGTATACGTACATTTCGTTCGACTGGCATCAATCGTTTTCATGTTCGTACTGTTTACAACCACTCCGATTACGAAAGCGTTTTGCATTCCTTCTTGCAGTGATTTTATTTCTTGTCTGTATAGAAAAGACATTGTCTTCTTTTTAAATCGTGACAAAGAAACCGGCAGATCAATCGATAGAAGCAGATCGTAAACGCGAATAATTTCGATAATTAGAACGCAATACAGTGTTCGTATGTCTGCGATCTAAATTCTATTTTACTGTCCCAATACTGCCAATAGCGATTTGAGTCTTTTGAACCAACAGTCACGGTACGCGAACAACTAGATGCGATGTGTCTCATCTCTGGGTACACCCACGGTAATCGATTCTGTCCCTTGGAAATTTTCATAAACTGAGAAGTGACTACGTTTCTATACTACTCACAGTCCATGCACGATTAATAAAATAACTAAAACTTACGCTCACTTAAGCCCTAAACACAGTGCCAGGCAATAAGAATAAAAATAGACCAATCATAATCGACTATTACAAGAATAATCTATTGTGATTGGTCTATTTTTATTCTTATTGCCTGTTGCCTGGCATTGTGTTTAGGGCTTTATGAAGGATTGACACCGCGTCCGATGTCCGACATACGACGTTCGATATCCAATAGGAGAACAGCTTTCTAATGGAGAATTCAATTCTTCATTGCTTCAAGCTGTTCCTTCTATTGGATATCGGACGTCGTATGTCGGACTAATAGGTATCCTGGCGATTATTTCCATTCTAAGGAAAGGTTTATTCTTTTCTAAGGTCCAGTTTCACAACTTGCTTTAAACGGAGTTTAAAGCAACTTGTGGAACTGGGCCTAAAGCGTGGTCTACAATGGCCGCAAGCAGTAAGAAGAAAGCGTGAACAGTAAGAAATGGACCAACCACAGTTGATTATTTTTATCATAATCGACTGTGATTGGTTTATTTCTTACCGCTTACGCTTACTTTTACTGCTTACTGCCACTGTAGACCACGCTTGAATAGTTTGCGTATTTTATCTGATGACATAGAAACAAATAAAATGCAATTAGGCATTTTAAAAAGTTTATTGAAAATGAAAGATACGATAGTAATAAAGAAGACGTTATATTATATTTTGGAAAAATAAAAAATTATTATTAATAACGAAAAGAGACAAGACAAATATGCTTTCGCATTTCGCGCTTGGAGGAGTAAAACCAAAGTTATTTTTGTTGTCTGTTCTTTTTAACTGAACTGGTGTAATAAGAGTGAAACAACATTATTTTTTCTCACTTTAACTTATTGCACCAGTTCAGCAGCGTAGCTAAAAAGAACAGACCAGTGACCAGAGTAGACGTAGACTGCACAACTCTTGATTGTGATTGGTCGTTTATTGTTGGACTCACGGACTTTCTGCGCATAGTGTATGTGTGTGTGTGTGTGGTTCTAACCTTTAAAATAATTTAATAAACTGTGTCCTTTATATGATTAAATATTCTTACGGAAGGTTGACGGCATGATGGCAAAAGTCATCAAACTACAAAAAATTTAGCCTTTACTATCATACAAAAAATTAACGTTCAAGTAATTCTTTGAAAATGTTTGTAAAATTAAAATTATTGTGAGGAAGGAGAAAACGTGATAATATATATTGTAAAAGCATTTTTTTAATCAAAACTGCTCTTTGTAATATCAAGATGCTAAACGTTACATTTCAAAGTTATAAATATTGTATAAAATATTTGACAAAATCATGTCGACTATGTAGTACGGTAAATATATTTTACTTTGAATAAATAATTTTACAAACAGCTTTGAACAAACAATTTCACAAACAGTTTATATATTCATTATAATATTATTAGAAAACTACATTCAAAAGCAATCTACTACTTCATGATATGATCGGTCCTCCTGATCCAGTTTCAAATTTAAGACCTATAGTATTTGTACATCCAGCAAATGAAACTTACTTAGAAAAGAAATATAGAGAACTTAAAGAAGATACTCAACAATGGAACCAAGAATTCTGGTTCAAACATAATACTAATTTCATTCAGGTAAGTTTCATATATTTATTATTTACAATATATGAAATAAGATTTAATATTGTTGATGTTATTATAGGAACGGAAACAATTTCAAAACTTACTGAAGGCGCAAGGAAAGATGGAGATAACTGCAGATGAAATGTCAGTCTTTTACAAAAAATTTTTAGATAAGAACTGGCAATTGCACTTTAATTATAACATAGCATGGCACAAAAAAAATATAAAAATTCTCTTTCTTGAAATAGTAGTAGGGTTATCTAAATTCAAGTTTAAATAAATTTTTATTAAAGAATATATACACATATATATTTATGTATATATACATATTTATTATAGTCACATGATACAATTATATATAGTGATAGAACCAATTCCTGTTCATATATAATGTCTGTGTTTATACATAGTACTTTGATTCAGCGAATTTTGACTGATCTAGGAGTGATGAATGACGTTATAAGTTCTGTTTAGTTTAACACAAAGCTTACAATATTAATAATCAATCCCAAAGTTATCAAAATCTGCTCATTCAAAGCACTATAATAAATTATAATACAACCTCTTAAATTATATAAAAATATATAGGTAAGAATAGCTTAAGGTAAGAATAGCTTTGGTTATGTTGATTTATTTAAATTCATATTGTTAATGATAGAATCTATTAAAAGAGTTATCTTAATATTTTAATTGTAATTATATTAGTACAATCTAAAAAAGGTTATATTTAAACATTTCTATATTTTAGAAAAAATAAAATATTAATAAATTATTCTATATAATGGTTGCAATAATGATGTTTTTTGTAAAAATATTCAAAATGATAGAACTTTTTATTGGCAAGATTAAAATATCAGATAATTTTGAAATATGTGCAGCTAAAATGATGTAAAGTTGGTCACACTTTTACAATGTTTTATCGGTATAGTAGGAAGATCCGACATCCCCTTAAACATTTATTTATTTATATATTCGTACTACTTCTGGGTAGTAATCTGTATTTGCTTACTTAATGAATAATAACTATCCGTTACTATCAGTTTAGACATCAATGGGTTTTGAACTCTAGATATCGATAGGTAACCGTCTTCGAATTTCGATATTTCAAATATCGATGGATGACAAACTTCATTGCGAACGTTATGGGCAGTATAAATTTTCCATAACTTTATTATGAAGATTCAGCGCAATTAGACGATTTATAAACAAACTACTTCAATAAAGTGATGATAAAATATAAATATCAATATTACCAGTTATATATGATAGATAAAATTTACCTGATCTAGGACAAATTGTTCCAACTTCGTGGTAAGTTAATTAATAATTAAATTATCTGTTTATCTTTGTTTTTCCTTCAATTTAGACAAAGACAGACATATGATTTAACTATCAGTTAATTTATCAAGCAGTTGGAGCAACCTGTCCTAATTCTACCATTATTCATCAAACGGCAAGCTATTGTCTTTAGCAGACCCGCCGAAGATTAACAAGCGTCCGGATTAATCGACCGACACCGTGAGATGTCGCCAGCAACAGCTCCTGCTGCTGGTGCCACCGCCCTTCGTACATCGCGACCTCGGTAGACCGGCCCTACCTCTGCGGCGCGATCGCGTCTGCACGCACGCACGCAACGGGACGCGACGGAACGCGACGCGTTGCAACCTAACGGTGATCGGATTGAGCGTCACTGCACTCGTATCGCGCGTAATTCGCACTCAGGCGGAGAGCAACGCGGCGGAGACATCGGTTGGTTGCCCACCGTAGACACCGTGAGTGAACGTAGGTGTGTATGCGGCGCTCGCGAGCGAGATTGCGCGCGTATGTGTGTGTATATGGTGTGTACGTGTATGTACGCGCGTGTGTGATGGGTCTGATTCGGGGCTGTCGTAAGCGCTCGATGGTCGAGCATCGTCGCGCACACGTCGCCGCACCTACGTCGGGCGGCGCCGCGAGATCGGCCGCGAGCACCGCCGCCCATTAAACGACCGCGCTCGTCGTTCTCCGTCCTGACGAAGACGCGAGATCAGTCGACGGAAGTGCCGGTGCGGAAGTGTCAGTGTTCAGTGATCAATGAACTCTGCCTGACGCGTGCTGTTTTCGAGGCGTGCTACCAACGGAGCGCACATCAACAGCGACGAAGACGGCGGCAGCGGCGACGACGACGACGACGACCCGGCGAACGTATGTACGACTATAAATGTTACTAGCTAGCTGTTCTCGTGCTGTCTCTCTCTCTCTCTCTTTCCCTCTCTCTCTCTCTCTCTCTCTCTCTCTCTCTCTCTCTCTCGCCCTCTTGTCTTCTTTTTTCTCTCTTCCTCCCTCTCTTTCTCTCTATTTCTCTATCTTTGTCTTCGTCCGCGCTCCCGCGGTTTATTACTGCGATTGACCCCGGAATTTCCCATCGGCGCGCGAGTTCTCGCGAAGCGCGCTCGATGAGAGCGTCCGTATCTTCGCGGTTTCTTCGGCCGCGGTTCCTCCGTCTCGCAGAAACTACCTACCGCACGACGACCTACCTACCTAACTCCTGTGAGCGTCGCCTTCCATTTTCGGTACGCTGCTCGTACGCTCGCGAGGAACTCGCAATTATACGACGACCACGCACATATGGATGAAGTGCAGGCGTGTGACGCGTGCAGGCAGATAGCGAGCGCGTGCACGTTAATGCACTATTATCCCTTCCCGTCCCCTACTCCTCCGACCTTACGTCAGTCGGCATGGCGTTTTTCAACCCTTTTGTTCGGAGTCAATCGACTGGCCAATCGCTTCGTTTAGCGTAGCCTTGGTCATCTTCCCGGCGTGCGTTCTCGCTCTCTCACTTGGACGATCAGGATTAATATCGCGGACGAGACGAGACGCTCGAGCGAGCGAGCAGTCGACAACAACGACGACGGCGGCGGCGGCGCGTCTTCGCAATTCTTCGTGAGCGCGAGATGCGACGCGCAAAATTCAAGCCGGAACTTAACGACGAATCTAGCGGACGAAACGGCGCTCTCGAGGAAGCAGCAGGAACGGAGAATCCTCGCGTGACTTATATCTCGTCACGGCGCATTATGTAAACACGTCACTCCGCGAGAGATAGACGTCGTTACCCCGTGCGTGTTTCGCTCGAATGTTCCGCTCCAAGTACGTTGTCCGACGCATTCGGCGCGCGAGCGTCTCGTAAGGATGAATCATTGTTGTTTCAAAAGAGACACACACGGTCGCCGGTGCGGCCAGAGTTTAAGCGAAACTCACGTGCTCCACTTTGGAAGATAAAATGCCACGGTAGTCCTCCTTCCCCCCCCCCCTCGTGCACCATCTTCGCTCATTTCAAACTTGAATTAGCAGTGTCAGATATTGGTTTCGCTATTACACATTCTTGTCCGGAAGGGACATGCGAAATTTTAGTTAAACCTGTACTCCCGACTCAGGGTCGAGAAAATTGAGGAACGTGAGTTTTGCTTTCGTACACTTCGATTGTAATCTCTTCTGAAATACATAGCCTTCTGTGTTTTTGATTTACTAATTTATTCGACGATCATCCGATATTGCGCGATATGAAGAAGTAGTTTCGAAAGTTTTCCATCGCGGATATAATACGAGTGTTTATAACTTCCTGAAATGAGTTATCATTAATTATTGCTGTGCGATATGCGATATGATAATGCCTGTTTATTACAGATGATGACATAATACGGATTTATCGATCGAACTCTTTTTGAGAGAAATACATAACAGTTGCTTCATAAAACAATAGATGACCGAAAATGAATGATATAGAAGGTTTTGGCATGAAGGGAACAAAGATGCCTCATAGTCATTCTACACCAGCTGGTGTGGATGGAGGTAGTAGAACACCTCCAACAACACCGCGGAAAGCTGGAAAAATGCTCGCAGTACGTGTACAGATGTTGGATGATAGTATTACAATGTTTCAAGTGCAGGTAAAAAATATTTTCTTTTTAATTATCGAATAACCGTCTTGTACTTAGTTTGCAGTAGTTAATAATAGTAGTAATAATAATGCGTGCATGTGCATAGAAATTTTTAACGTTTTCGTTTTCTGCAAGGACAACTATTTGCACCCTATGGAGATTATGAGAATAAACGTCCTAGAATGGCATTGAATGACGCCTGAATATCTTATTGTGCCTTTATAATTGTACGCTATACAGCGCAGTAGAACGTGTTCCTCTATTATTGCATTGACTATCATGGAGTTACATATTATGCATCTCTGTGCGTGCTTAAATGCTATTATGAATAGTTTAATTTAAATTCTCGTACTTGACGGTATCTAATTTGATGTCTATTATCTAATCTCAGTAAAGCATGTACATGTATTGTACATATTTGTCTTGAAACGTCACTCTTATATGACCTGAATTTTTTATTCATAATCGTTTTCAATTTTTATATAACGAAAAAGAGGTCTGTACTTGTTTTAGTTCGACTATCTTATACATGCTGTGTAGGCATGTATGTTAAACTATTTACTTGATGCATCCAGGTCAAGAGTCATTGATTACAAAGCCTCTTAGAATCTTCTCCGTGAAACCGTTTAACTTAGAATTTTGATGTATAAGATCTTCGCCTTTATGTCCCCTTTTATGTCATTACGAAATCCAAGAAAACGTTTACTTGTAATTTTCTCCGCACATAGTACTCCCATTGAGTATTTGCATCCAGTGGAATTAATGCGTCGGATAAATATCTTCAAAAGATGTCTTCGGAAGATTTTTGAACGAGTCCTAGCAATTGAAATATTTTATTATTCAGATTTAAAAATTTATCGTCTTATAATATTATGTATTTTTATATTGCGTAGCAAAGTGCTTACTATATATGCTGTATAGTGCGCGCATATACTTCCAGAAGAATGAGCTATTGGAGCATGTAGTATATTAAATGGGGGATCCCTGTATGTGAAAAATATATATACTCATTTATTGATTATTTATTTACAATGCTTGCAACGTGTTACTTATTCCTTTAGAAAATAATTTTGTTCCAACATTTTAACTTTACATTAAAGAAATTATTAGTTTGACGCGTATTTTTTTCTTTACTGTTACGTGATTCTAGAGGTGTGCTCGGGAAGACATTATTAGCGTTACACAAACGCTACCAAAACTATTCGTTAATAGTGCAATAGTGATGACGAATTTTACGATCAACAGTAACGTAGCGTTAGCATTATTGCGTTATAGTGTTGCTTCCACAGTTTAAACAGTCTTCAGTTTTAACATTCTGAAGATTTATATAAATGTATAACTTTGCCCCCGTTACGTACAAGAATAATAATAAAATAATAAATAGGACGTACCAATACCATTTAACAATTGTATACAGTGACAAATGTACAATTCACAACGTTTTGGATGTTTACGGTGTTTATAACGCTAAAGGTATCGATACAGTATGATGAAAGGAATAATGTTATCATATACTACTATTAGTGATATCATGATAGCATTTGTTAGCGCTACCATCTAGTTATGCGACTAGCCTGTAACACTACATAGCGCTGATAGGGTTTCTCCGAACGCATTCTAGTTGATCAATTTTGTGTGAACAGAATTTATCAGATTTTTATGCAATTTTGCGTGTATCGTTAGATGAATGTACGACCATGTTAAAGATATTCACGGTATATTAAAATTATTAAATTGTTTATAAAGTACAATGGATATTTGAGATTTCTATTATTTAACGTCTTGACATTATCCAAATTTATATGAATCGTATTACACAGTAAAATTCTTTCTGTTTAAAAATTTCAGGCCAAGGCACTAGGTAGAGTGTTGTTTGATCAAGTTTGTAAACAATTGCATCTTTTAGAAGCGGATTACTTTGGTCTTGAGTATCAAGAACCGAATTTAACAAGAGTAAGACTTTTCATACAAACTTTAAATGTTTTCTGACGAACGATGCAATTAAAACTCGTATTATTTACAGTATTGGTTGGATTTGGAAAAACCAGTGTGTAGACAAGTTGGTTTGTCTCTAATTGATCCTCTATTGAGGTTCTGTGTTAAATTTTATACGCCAGATCCTGCACAACTCGAGGAGGAGTTTACAAGATATTTATTCTGTCTACAAATCAAACGGGATTTAGCTCAAGGTTTACTGCAATGCAATGATAACACAGCAGCATTGATGGCTAGTTATATCGTACAGGGTAATTACATTTTTATTTTTATATTCTCTCTCTCCCTCTCTCAAATTTTCTATATAAATTACTTATTTATGTATGACCGCTATATTCTATTTCTTAGCTGAATGCGGAGACTATGTGATAGAAGACTATCCAGATCATACGTATTTATCAACATATAAATTTGTGCCTCATCAAGATCAAGAGTTGGAACGACGTATTATGGAGAATCATAAGAAACATGCGTAAGAGACATATACCATGCTTTATTAGTGATACTCTGCTAATATTAGATCTGTCTCTTGTTTATTTTTTCTTTTTTTTCTTTTCAACAGAGGTCAATCTCCTGCAGAGGCAGATCTTAATCTTTTAGAGACAGCTCGACGTTGCGAACTATATGGAATGAAAATGCATCCAGCTAAGGTGAGCATAATAAGATGCTTTTCGTGTGTCTTATTTACATTGCACATATATTAGGTATATTTATCTTTTCTTTTTTTTTTTTTTTTTTACATTAGGATCATGAAAATGTTCCACTGAATCTAGCAGTGGCACATATGGGGATCGTGGTATTTCAAAATTATAATAAAATAAATACATTCAGTTGGGCCAAAATCAGAAAAATCAGTTTCAAACGGAAACGTTTTTTAATCAAATTACATCCTGAGGGTTATGTAAGTACCTATATTATATCTAATTTTTTATATCAGTGTACTATTATAGAATATTCTATTGATAAAACAACTGTCTCTTTTTCCAATAACAGTGTATTTCCTTTTTTATCCATAGGGTTATTACAAGGATACAGTCGAATTTTTCTTTGAGGGACGTAATGAGTGTAAAAACTTTTGGAAAAAATGCGTAGAAAATCACGGTTTCTTTCGTTGTTCTGTAGTTAAAAGAGTCGTAAGGCAGAAGACCAGAGTTCTGAGTCGTGGATCATCGTTTAGGTATGTCAAGTTATCTTCAAGAATATTACTCTTGTTATATAAGAAATCTACATTTTCTTTTAATTATATTTTCTGAATAATTCATTATTTAATTAATAATCCCATTATTTAAAAATTAATAATCTCATTATTTAATTTTTTAAATACAATTATAAGTTTATTAGAAAAAAGAAAAAAAAATATATGTATATATATGGTAGTTTGAATATGTCTAAACCGACTAGCCGATCTGGCACGAAAAGAAATATTTCTATTGTGTTTTGTATTTTCACATATTACCAGGTATAGCGGCAAAACGCAGAAACAAATCGTCGAATTTGTTCGGGATAATTATGTAAAGAGGCAAACGTTTCAAAGGTAAGTTGATTTAAAATGTTGATATAGGCCGTTGAATAATTAAGAAAGTTCTTGGATACCCATGTAACATGTAGATAGTGCATGCAGATCATTCCGTACTGTTTCCTTAATGTTGGTTTGTACTATTGAGGTTTTTTATTGATGAACGCACTAATTTTGTGGGTAAGATAGGAGGTGGCACGGTCTTGCTTTTGCCGGGATACAAGTCGGTATTTATACATTATCCAAACTTCCAATTTCCGTAGCGGAAATTGTTCACTATGTCCGTTTTTATATTTCCGTTTGTCAGTGTTGCCTGCTCGGACAGGGGTGGCGGGGAGTCAGGCTCACCATCAGGCACGATAAACCCGAATGATCAGTGTACCCTCTCTCAATAGCGTGATCACTAATTATTTATTGTTGTATCTAATTAATACACAACAAAGTACCATACTTCACTGCCCTTAACAGTTCTATCCAACAAGATATTTGTCCATAGACAGTAGACAGTTCTAAAAAATAGAAGATAGTCTATTATTATAATATATTTGAAAAAGAATAACAAAAATTGTTGTACATACTGCTGGCAGATTTCCATTCGCTGTGCGATGCACGGTTGAGAAACACCTGTATAAATATGGTCAAAATATATCACCTGACAAAAAGATTAATATACGCGTGTATGATATTACTGAATATTTTTTCCTTTTCGTTTTTTTTTTTTTTTTTTTTTGTTATAAGCCATAAAGTAGTCAGATTTTTAATATATACAAATACGTTGACACTTTTGTTGGAAACGTCTGTGTACATTGATTATGCACAGTATCGACTGTTTCTATATCCTATCTTGATTTTAATCTCAAAATTGTATAATTAACTACAATTGTATAAAATGTACAGAAAATAGATTTGGCACAAATCTTAATTTATGAATATATGATAATGAGATATAATATATGATCGTAAAAGTTGCATTGCATTTAAGGTTTAAGAGTGACATTAGATATACATTTCTTTTTAAAATGCACTCTTATTTGTATTTATTTATGCTTTTGGACACGCCAGATATTTTTCTTATATTTCACATAATTAATGCACGTATGGCTATTTGCTAACGCGCAAATGTTTTAATATAAAAATTTTTGTATTAATGTTTTTAAGATATATCCTACTTATGGTGTTTGTAAGACGAAGGGACAGCTCTTCTCACGTGTTACAACTTTGTACTTCATTAAAAATATGATGGCTGTCTTTCTGTTGTTCCTAAATTTATTCAATTGTAGTACGCAGTTTTTCCTCTGCACTTACGATATCCAATACGTGTCCCATAATGATTTGCTAGCAATACATATATAGTTAATTAGCAATTGACATATTCGAGCATTAAAGATATGATATTTTCATTTCTTTATATTTTTATAGATCAAGACATAGAATGTAATGTCATCATTAAATATAAGATACATTATATATGCAACAACGATTGATCAATTTTTCAGTGAAAACATTTTAACATCTACAACGAAAATCAGCTTGAAATGGCGGTGTTGACCGTGTATCGTATCAGAAGTGTGATCTATTTTTGTTTATTGTATCGTACTTTAATACGTGGGTTAGTAAGAAGATCGATATTTCCCGCGCAATTCCTTGCGTCATACCGTCGATTAATCGAGAAGGTATTTTTTTTTCTTTGTTACTTATTGATCGTTAAGAAAAAGAATTACAAAAAAAAGAGAAGAAAGGGATAAGTTGGTTCCGAACAGGCTTGGCATTTGATAGCCTAAGTCTGATGCTGAACTTGACTCTCTCTTGCTCGCAGGTCCAATTCGTTCCGGCAGACTAGCGGTGGTAGGGCATTGCAGGGCTCGGAGGGGGGAGGCTATCGTGGGGCCACTCCAAGCAGCTCCCTTATGGGCAGCTCCAGCATCTCTGCCCACCCCCTCCTGCCCCTCGGCGATCCTGGTATGTACCATGACCGACACCAACCTCCACAACAAACGCTTTATTTTTAATTTCTCCGCCCTTTGGCTCTCTATTTTTGTCCACCTGTTTCTAGCCTCATTTTTTTTTCACTGTATCATAACTGAAGTATTGTAACTGTAGAGTAGAATAGCGTATCTTAAATAGAGATTGTTTTTAAGCGGATTTTTTATGCGTGAGGTTTCTTGTGTTTATGAGGTGTGTGTATATATGTGAAGATTGCAACGGATATGAAACGGATTTTGAAATATTTGGACCTGCGAATGCGACGATCGTACAGTTTGCCAAGATATCAATTGTATCGAGATGATCGTTCAAATGTGTGTTCACGATTTGTGAAATCCAATTGAAATTTGCAATATCCGCATCATTTCGATACGCAATACTAAATACAGTGTCAGTTTCGATATCACGGGGGGGAGAGTTCGCCGAGAAAGTCTATATGCATATACGTTTATAATGTTTAATCATGAAATAAGCATACATTAACCTTGATTGATTCACTAATAATAGTCGTTATTTAAATAACGCGTAAGAACATCACCGGCAGCATTTAACGACAGTGTAAACACGTGTATCTATAAAATAATCGTGGAGTAAACAATTGGCAACGCACGCAAGGTCATGCGGTATTTTTCCGGAGGTTTGTTCCGCCATGCGCCGGCAACAATGAGATATTGAAAATGGTACAATCAACATATACGCAACGTGTGTAAATGACAGAAGCATAGTCGCATGAGGATTGCGTGTGCTAAACTTCCGTACACGGCGCGCATGTTAGTCGGGCAAGGTTATATTTACGTCGCACGATACGGATCTTTTCAGCCCTGGCAACCCCAGCTCTGTCTCTGTCATGCGGCTCGATGACACTGGATTCTCCGACGACTGTGACGAGTGTCTCGATGGGCGGGACGATTCACCGTCGAGAAGACACAGCTACGTCATTTCGGACGCTCACCTCTATCGACGTCCATTCGCCAGCTACCCCCAGCCAGGTCCCAGCACCGCGGCAGATGCATGCTACCAGTCAACAACGGATTTCATCAACAGGTCGTATCAGCCCCTCTAACAGCAGTCCCCCTGAATTCCCACCACCACGACCTCTGCCCAGACACCCCTGGCAACGGTCGGCTAGTTGTCGCGAGCTATATGCTTCTAGTTTCGAGGATTCCGGTAAAGCGCGACCGCGGGACGACAAGGTCACCGCGGAGCCTCTGTTAGAGCCATTCCAATTGCCCTCCCAGGGTGAACTAGATAACCCCGTGACACGTTACGACGAGAGTAATCGTTCGTATAGCGCTGCTAGTTCGAAATTACCCTCCTTAGATCACGATTCTGTCCCCGAGCGAGTCTACAGCAGTTCCTACCCGGGAACGTCGTCGTTGTCTACCGAATCGGGTCATGAGGAATCGGGTCCCGCCGGAGATCTGTCTCACGACGATCTCTCGCACGATTCTTACGAGCTTTTAGAACGCGAGCATGAATTCGAATATCCGGAGTCGTATTCTAGCCCGCACGACGAGCACGAACCAATATCCGATCAGAGTGACGAAGGGATCGAGCACGAGATGTTCCAAATGGACTCCGAGACCGATTCCTTCGTCAAGCACAGATCGTCGAAGCCCACCGAGAAACAGCAATACAAGTCCGCGCTCACTGATCTTAAGAACGCTAGAACCAAGTCCATCGATCGGTACTCAGCTGTATCCAAGCCGGACGGTGATTACATTATCACCGAGTCCAGGATACAACGGTCGAGCACGCAGATAGAACGCAAGTTCGAGACGCGACACGCCAATTCCGTGGAACAGCCGTCTAAGACGGCCATTCCGCATCAGGATTCCGCCAGGAAGGATCCCGTTATCCTGCAGGTGCAGAAGCAAAAGGTTTCTGTCCTGAATGAGCTAAAGAACCTCAAGCCCAAGTACAAGATCACCCATGTAGACTCGGAGGTCCTGCGGGACGAGGGTATCATGCGTCCCAAGTCGCGAATAGATGATGACCTGAGCCCGGTGGACGGTAGTAGCGGTAGTAGAACGACCTTCGATCAAAACGCGAGAGGTAGGACGACCAGAGCACGTAGTATCGCTAGCTTGGAGGATCACGCGCCGCGGTTGTACGTTGAGACAGGTAGCTTAGGTCGGGGGCACAAGTCTAGGGACAGAAAGTCGCGGGATGTGGTAGACGTCAAGGTCGAGAAAGTCTTTTCAAAGATGCAGGAGAAAGAGCGAAAGCGAGTTGAGAGGGATTACTCGAGGGATTGCCGGCGAATAGACAAGAACGATTCTCGAGAGCGTCGTTCGATGGATCGGCTGGATTCGCGCGAGTCGCGCAAGTCGGACGGCCACGGTCGTCGTAGCATAGACCGGATCGACATGCGTGAGTTGCGTAGGAGCATCGAGCGACTCGACGTGCGCGAGAGGAGCTACGAGCATCTAGATTCGAAGGAGAAGAGTGCCTTTTATTACAATGATTTGTACGAAATGCGTGGCAAGAGCGTCGATCGTCTAGATTCTCAAGGCTTACGCAGCAGCACGGAGCACCTAAGAAGTCCTAAGGAGAAAAACAATTATCGGCATTCGGATTCGCGGGAGCGTAGGGAACGGAGCATCGAGCGAATCGATTCTCGAGAGTCGAGAAAGAGCAGGGCGGCCTCCATCGACTACGACCAGAGACACACTTTGGAGCGCTTCGATTCGGGCAACAGAAGCCCGTTTGAGCGGCTCACCCCGAAGGAACAACGGAGAATGAGCATAGAGAGGCTGGACTCGCAAAAGTCGACCTTTGACTTTGATCCGCGTGCGATCGAGCGCTTGAAATCGCTGGAGCGCTACGAGCAGAGAGACCGAAGTTACGAGAGAAAGGTCGAGTCGAGGAGCGCCGAGCGGAAGAGCCTGGAGAAGCTGGACTCGCGCGAGCGGAAGTACCTGGGCCGCTTAGAATCGCGGGAGGGCAGGAGTCTCGAATGCCTGGATTTCGACAGTGTGGAGCGCAGGAAGAACATCGAGAGAACAGAACACAAGGATCAGAAGAGAGTCAGGAGTAAGCCCGAGAGAGGCAAGTCGGAGGAGAAGCCGCGAGAACGCGACGACTGGAAGAGTCTGGAGAAGGCGCGGAAAGACGACGAGAGGCGCGAGCGCGAACGCCAGGCGAAGCTGTCGATCGAGTCTCGCACGGAGACGGTCATCGGGGTGCCGCACGAGGTGGAAGTTTTCAAGCCCAAGACCGTGTTTGCCGAGTACGAGCCGAAGGTCGTCGGCGGCGTCGTCCTCGGCTTCGACGAGACTGCCTTGCCTGGGCACGTACCGGTAGAACGCACCAAGAGCGATCCGAATCCCGCGCGGCAGAGATTAGGCTCCAACAGCAAACGACATATGCTCATGCACCAGAAGTCTATTGACCTGACCCCGGCTGATTCCGGCGACGAGGAGCCGTTCTCGGACAGCGCGGCCATTCAGAAGGCGAACGTCGACATCCCGTACACGCTGCACAAGAGACACGTGATGAACGGCACCGCGTCCGACGAAAAGTCCGAGTCGGACAGCAGCAAGACCTCGAAGAATGTGAAGAGCATCGTCAAGGACCTGCCGAAGCTGCCGCTGAAATTGGTGACTGATATCGCGTACTTTGATTTAACCAAGCTCTCTTCGATAGATAAAGCTACTAGCAATAAAGTGTCTCCGGATAAGCCGAAGAGCATCGCGGCTACCACCACGAGGCCGAAATCTATCTTGAGTCCCTCGGACAAGCCGAAGAGTATTTTAAGTCCAACGTCGAAGCTCTCGCCCACTGATCCGAAGAGTATCGTTTGTAGTTTATCACCCACCAATCGAAGCCCCTCCAAGGCGAGCGCAAAGACTCAGCTTGCCGATAAACTGTCGCAGAAAGGCGGCTCGTTAGACCGAAACCGAACAGAGGTTATCATCGAGGATTACATGTGCAAGAAATCCTCGAGTCTGGACAAGAAACCGTCGAAACTGTCGCCGGTGGAGGCGAATGTCACCATTATCTCGGCGCTGGAGAAACGCTCGCCTAAAAAATCACCGACTGATCCTAACGTGACCATCGTCTCCGTCATACAGAAGAAAAAATCTACGGACGGCGCGCCGAGAAGTCCCACTAGTGTCGCGAAGACGGCGATGGACACGAAGCTGAAGGCCGCTTTGAATTTCGCCGACATCGTAGGTATGGAGATTAAGCAAAATCTCGAGCGTCGCGCGAAAGTCGAGAAAGACAGTCTAAAGACGCCGGATGACAATTTAGAAAAACAGGACAGTATCGAGAAGATACCGTTGCCCGAAATACCCGCTGTTGAAATGCCGGGGGATCTGGAGAAGATTGCACTCACCGGGGCTGCTGACCAAGTGAAAAACGTCGAACAGATTGTCAGAGAACCAATCTACTCACCGAAACAAACCGTCGACGACTTGTCCACGTCCGACGATGACCGGAAGCAGGACAATGTACAGTCTGTGGTAGCTGAGGTTCATATCTCGGCCCCGATTAAGACGGAAATCACGGCGGAGAAGCCGCCGATCCCGGAGAAGCCGAAGACGTTGGAGAAGCCGAGCATTCCTGAGAAGACGAAGCGTATCTTGGAGAGGATAGAATCGAGATTTTCGGAAGTCAGTAGAAATTCCGCCACGAAGATCTCGAGGCCCAAGATCATCGACACGGGATTCGACGATTTCGTGGATCCAGTCGCCGACCTGCCTTTGGACGAAGTGCCTGTGAAACCTGCTTTAGAATTGGATAGCCTTAAAGTTCCTGAATTCGTTCCCTTCATGCTGAGACCGCACGCGGAACCGTTGAGATCGAAGTCCCTGTCGCTGGCGGAAGAGAAGGCACCGATCGACACTCTGCTCTCACCGGAGATGGAGAACAAACATTTCGTGCAAGACGTTTCCCCCAAGAGAGTGAAGAAGGTAAAATCCGAACCGAAGAAAGACTTCAAGAAACAATCGAAATCGCTGGAGGGCGACAAGCCACCGCTGAAGAAGGCCATATCGAAGGAATCGCGTGCCACGGCGGCAAGGATCGACAAGTCGAAATTGAAGCTCGGTGAAATGCCACAAGAAATTATAATAATTGACTCAACTGACGTGGCGCCAGAGATCAGCATCGTTCAGAAAGGTAGGTCGAAATCCGTAACCAGACTGTCCGACAAGCCGTTTTCAACGTCAAAGGAGGAGAGGGATGACGCGAAGAACACTCGCGCGAAATCCGCTTCGGTCGATGACGATTTGATCAAAGGCGCGGTGAAGTCCGAGAAATCCAGACCAAAGTCACTGGGGATATCAAAGAGCCTGGGAAGCACGGAGAAAAAGGACTCGGTCGAAAAAATATCTCCAAAGAGAACCATCGCCTCTAAAGCTGCCGTTAAGGTGGATTCAAAGGTCGAAGCTAAACCGGCTGCAGCGAAGGACACGGTATCGAAGCAGGACTTAAAAGCGCCACGTGGCGCCAAAGCGACAATGAAGCCGTCGGAACCGAGCACCGAGAACATCGCTGCCGAGTCGAAGCAACTTAAACAGGAGAAAGATTCTAAACCGTGCGTCAAGCCTGACGTGGTGATCGATCAGCCGGTGGACGTTAAACAGGTCGTAGCAATTGACGGATCCAAGGAATTGCTCAAAGAGCCGGTCAAGGAGTCAGCTAAGGAATCTACCAAGGAGCCGAGCAAAGAACCGTCGAAGGACAGCGTGAAGAAAACAGCGCTCGCTCAAGATCTAAGCCAGTCTCCGTTGGTGTTACGTAAGCCGGGCCAGACACCGATATTGTTCGCTCGTGCGCGTCTTGGCCTCTCCGAGGGTAGCGCCATCGGCGCGCTTCAGCGTCAAGGTGCCACGCAGTCGCCCACCTCTCAACGACGTGCTAAATCTCTGGACGCCGCGGTGATCTCCGTGCACCGACTGCCGCCAGCAAACGCGTTCTCCAGTAAAGACGACACAGTGGACGTGTCGGAGAACATGGAGGATGCTGCCGAGAATGAGATCGCGCAAGGTGCGAGTGCGGTGTCGAAAGTGCAATCGATGCAGATGGAGGCCTCCCCGAATCACAAGTCCGACAGCACCGATCATACCACCATCCCGGAGATATGCACCGACTCTTTGTCCGTCACTGAGACTTCGGCACAGTACTTGGAGTCGCCGTTGACCGAGTGCAACGAGATCGTGCCCAACATCGATATGATACCTTACGAGCAGGAGAAAATGCCGTTCATGGGTTACATGAACGGAAACGAAGCACAGTCGCTGAAGATCACGGAGAGCGTCAAGGTCGACGAGGCGACGAAGTTCATCGACCAAAGTTCCGTCGAATCGAGTGCGGAGCAGGAAGTCTGCCAGGAGAGTTCTGCACTGAAGACTGATATGCCGAGAGAAGTTTGGCCGGATAAAGACAAGCCGGCGGTCTCGATGATATCCATGAAAAATGTCAGCGCGGAAGTGCTTACCTGCAAGCAGAAACAAAGCGAACTGCCGACTGCTGTCGAAAGTCAAGTCGGGGAAGAGAACGATACGAAGGTCGACGAGACGACGAAGGCTACAATTCGCTCGGAAGTACAACTTACTCTTATCAAGTCCGAGGACTCAAGAGGCTCGCCCGAGAGGGACGACGTTCCAGATGTGACTATAAGTGCAGTCAGAGAAAACGAAGAGCGCTTCCCGAGACTGTACGATCAGGACGATCCTCCAGACATGGTGAGATCGCCGATACAAATATCTATCGAAGAATGCTCCGATGACGAAGCAAAGCCGGAGGAGGAGGAGGAGGAGGAGGAGGAGGAGGAAGAAGAGGAGGAGGAGGAGCAAGAGATAGCACGAGAGCAAGAGATCGACGAGCGGGAAGAGGAGGAGAATAAACGACTCGATTCTCTCGACACGAGCGAGGACACGCTCGACGCGCTCGATACGCAGGTGCAGATGCGAGGTGTGGACAGCGAGCTGAGCTCACCCGACTACGGTGTCGATAAGATGGACGAGAAAACGTTGGTCGAGGTGGAGTTAACGCCTGAGTATCTAGAAATGAGAAGGGAAGACGAAGAGACTGCGGAAGATCTGCCCGAGGATGAGCCGGCCAAGGAGGTCGCGGAGATTGCAGACGCCAATCGCTTATCCATCGACAGAAAGCTCAGACTGAGCACCGAACGCTCGAGAAGTGAAGAGACCAATACTTGGACGCCGGACAGAGAAGACCCGGACTCCAGTTCGTGTTCTATTGCACGGCCATTGGGAATCGGGCAAATACAACCGATAATAGATCGCCGGGAGATCGCCATGATCGAAGGCGCCCGTAACAGTGGTTCTCTGGAGGATGACATTAACAATGGCTCGCAGCCTCCCCTGAAGCAGGAGATGAGTTCCACGTGGAAATCGTTCCCGCTCGAGAGTTCTGGTAGCTCTAGCCTGGAAGAAGGTTGGGCGCCTCAGGACGAGAATAACGCGCAGCAGTCACAGAGCGAGGACAGCAACGGGCAAAACGAGGACAGTTTCCAAGAGGACTTGGCGGATTTCCCTGGTACCTTCATCTATCCCATTGGACCTGAGATATTAGCCAACTACGGCGCTTTCTCACTCTCGCGCACGTTGTCCAGGATATCCGAGCGATCGACTACATCGGAACAAGACAAGAGCGACCTGGAAGATTCTTTCAAGCCCAGCTCAAGGTCGCCGAGCCTTGACGACGAGTCTCTGATATCGAGCGATCATCAGCCGTCCTTGTCGTCGGATCCGCCGTCCGGCACGGCGTTACCATCTGTTTCCGACGACCGCAGAACGTCCTCTGAATTACCGGATATCCCTATAGACGTGGTCGGCGCGCAAGATGACGACTCTAAGTCGCCGCGAGCGAACAGGCGGTCGCGGCTGCAGCTGCAGAGCTCCGAGGACTGGCCGTCGCCGCCGAGCTCTCCCGTATTCGACACGCCAGTGGTGAGCCACGTGGAGACGTTTTACATGGAAATCAAGCCGGAAGAGGCGGTCAAGGTCACTGTGACGGACAGCACTGAAACACCCGTTCACGCGGAGCAAGACAGCGACTCCAGCGACGAGAACAGAACTCTGCACGATGACCTTCACTCGACCCTCCTGGAGGACGGACAAAGTTCGACCTCCGCGACGGTCGACGGTACGGTTAAGATAGCGGTGAAACCGAAATCGAATTCGTACATAACCGGCTCATCGCACAGCGAGGACACGTCGATGGGCCTGTCGATGTCCGAGTGGTCCAGCTCGAACAACACCGTGCGCCAATTCTGCCAATACTCCGGTACCAAGTCCGACGACAATTCATTGGCGGAACTCGGCGCCTCGATCTCCGACTGGTCGGGCAGCACGACGGTGATACCGCAGCAATACTACTCGACGATGGCCGCGGACAAGAGTCAAAGCGACACCACGACGTCCGACAAGAGCGCGACGAGCATGAGGCCAAACTCCAAGTGTCAGACCGCCGATAGTTCCTCCCTTCCGTCACCACCGTCCCCGTCGTCGTTCCCACTGCCGCTCTCACCGCCGCTGCCTTCTCCTCCAGCAACGGCCACGTCCTCGTTACGTCACTTTGAGAACGAAGCTGCCGCTGCCGCGGCCGAGGCCACGCAGCACGAGGTTTCGCCGGACTCGGAGCCGTTCGAGGACGACGATCTCGCACGGCAAGTTCGCGCGCACAGCGACGAATTCGACGAGGCACGGCGGTTCATCGAGAGCCAGTTCGACGAGCACCGTCGAATGCGCCGCTACGACGACGAGCAGCAGGCCGCCTACCCGGAGTATACCGACATCTCGCCACCTCGCATCACCCTGCGGAATGAATACGACGAGGCCATCGACGATGACGACGACGACGACGACTTCCAAATGGTCCCAGACGAGGAGACCATTTGCGTGGACGACACGGCGCTACCGATACCCGAGGAGGACGAGGAGGATCAGTTGTACGACAATGTGCCCGCCATGAAGTACTCCAGTAGCGACAAAGTACGGATGGAGGTGGGTCGCGGCGACAGCTCGGAGGATATGCACGAGAAGTACGCGGATCTCACGCTGCAGTCGAGAATGGCAGAAGACGACTGGTCCTCCGAGGAGCGGAAGAACATGCCGGAGACGACAAAGCCGGCGAGGAGGGTCGTAAGCAAGTTTGACCGTGGCTTCTCAGAACCGAGCCCGCACGAGTCGGGCAAGTATCAAGGCACAAGATCGACTGAGCGACCGGTCGTCGTGCCCATCCGAGCGAAATCGACCCCGTATTACTCCACGACGAGCTTAAGCGGCGAGTCGACCACGTCCAGTCCGCCTATGCAGATCAGAACGCAGATTAGAACGAAGACGATGCCGTACTCGTCGAGTCGCAGCCCACAAAGCGAGGGTGACACCTCCTCGAGCATGGACAGCCCGGCGCACACACCTGACCGAGGTCAGCGGGCCTTCCGCCGGAAACGGCAGCAGAACATTAAGAGACGCCACCGGGTAGCCGTCGACCTCGAGATCAAAGACGGTCATATAATCTCCAGCACGGATTCTAGCTTCGACGTGGCGACCATACCGCCGCCTCTCTTAACGGAGGGTCAGAGTCTCGATGTGGATGACGATGAGGACGACGACGAGATGTCCGAGACGAAGAACGAGAGGGAACGACGTCGCCAGCAGCGTTGACACAATGTCGACGAGCGACGTTAAATATAAACGCTCGTGAAAGAGAGAGTGAGAGCTCGAGAACTAATAGAGGGAGAACTCGTAGGGAGGCTTTCCAGTCGCGTGGAATTGAGCGCACATTTAGAATTGATAGACTCACGACGCCGTTCTTCGTCGAACAAACAAGCGAGTAAACGCGCGCGATCAGCCACGTGCCGACGCACTCTCGACTTATATTATCCGCTGCACGGAACGAAGATCACCAAAGGGGTTCGCGAACGGACCGACGACTCGGCCTGGCCTTTGTAAGTAGGCAAGAATGATCTCGTTCCTTAGACGACGAGGGCGATCTCTCTCAGTAGTCGTACGGTAATTGGGATCGAGAGTTTATACGGGTACGTTGGATGGAAGATATCAATGACGGCTGAGAAAGAGAGAGAAAGAAGAGAGGGGGGAGAGAAAGAGAATGAACATAAGACAACGGACGACTCGTCTCTGTTCCGGGTTGGCTTCAGTCCACAAGCGAATGATCAAAATCTGTGCGAGGAATCTAGCATAATATCGTTAGGGATACGAATACGTTTGTTACACGTTTTAGAGATTTGGTTTACTTTGATATTATTGTCACAATAGAGATGACTCCCTTTGACTACCCCGTAGACGAGTAATACTCATATATAACTCGGAGACGAATATCTTACTATCGCGAACGACGCGCGCGATGACTCGTTGACGAGGACGACGGCCGTTTACGCGCGGCACGCGTTATATCCTAGTAATAAAATAACATATGACACTATAAGATAGAAATTGAAGGAGAGCGACGTAGGACTTCGGAAGATAATCGTAATTTTAAGAAGAGAGCGTGTGTAATAAAAGAAGCGCGTAATCGCGAATCATTTTTAACCCCCTTTAATCAGTCGAGTCGTTGCATTTGTTTTCCTCGCGTGAGATATCGTGCGAATATCCGACCGAACGATCGAACGCGACGCGTTTCTTCTCCCTTGCGTTTTAATTCCTTCTTTCTTCGTTTGAAACGCAACGTAACTTCGTCATAAGATCACACCCAATACTCCCGCGGCACGTATTCGTTGTATTGCGCCAGATACAACCCGTTAAATAATTAAATGAGATAAATATCTCGACGTTGCAAAAGTGACGCTAAATTCGGTCGCGCGACTTGAATTCACCAGGACAATCAATTGCGAAAGGTGTTTGCCGCGGGGAGGATCTCGGAGTCGGCGGTGGAGAAGCGAGAAACGCGGAATAAATACGATCGTGTCGCGGCACGATTGTTTCGCAATTCCGAACAATGAGTCTCTGAAACAACTACGATCTCTATGATTTCGCCGTGATTCGGTTCGCGTGTGCGTTGCAGAGGGCAGGAGAACGGAGGGAAAAGTTGCTCAACGTAGATACGTAAAATGTGGTTCGCGCTTTTTCGTTGACGTTCGCGCGGTCGTACCTCGCGTTAAGGATCAACCGCATCCCGTAGAGAAGCCGGTTATAACGAAAGAAAATTAATTAATTAATTAACTAATAAGTAAACGCAACCGGTGAGAGTGTGCGTCGGACTCCACGTGAAATTCATTCTCGACAAATGATGAAGAAATAGAGAGAAAGAGAGAGAGAGAGAGAGAGAGGGACAGTGCTCGTTCATGAATATCGGCTATGGACCAATAAATGGAACCGATGGCCACTAAGATCTCCGTTAATGTGTGAACTTAAGCCTTGTCCGTATTAATCCGTGAATTTATTCACTTAGCAACACAAAGTAATCCAAGATACACGCAGCTCAGACTCCTGGGAGATCCGGCCGCTAATCTAAGTTAAGTCATGACTGTCGTTAGCGCGCGAAACTTTATTATCCATTATTGAGCTGCTCGAGAGGAAGAGCACGCTGGGATCGAAGAAAAGAGGGAGGTAGAGAGAGAGAGAGAGAGAGAGAGAGAGAGAGAGAGAGAGAGAGAGAGAAAAAGAAAGAAAGAGAAGAGCGTCTCTCGGCTTTTCTTTTCGCGGATTCAGCGAATTCGCGCCGTTCGAGGCTAATACGACGTAACGTGTGCATACGTTTTTGCCGCGCTCACGATTATTAGTTTCCTCGGGCTGGGCGTTTATTATAGAAAGAGAGAAAGAGAGAGAGAGAGAGAGAGAGAGAGAGAGAAAGAGGAAGATCGAAGAAAACTAGGGCGCTCCGTTGTTGCGCTTTGAATCACGACGGCACAACGCCTGAGGAATATATCTTGGCGATAGGACACGCGTACGACAGGTGCGCCGTGCGTGTAGGAGAGAAACGTGTAACTAGGAAAAATTACGAGTTCGATTCGAGCGAGGCGTGTTAGAAAGTCCCATTGGTTTTTCAGCATGTAACTGTGCCTAGTTTTTATACCACGTTCGTCGCATGCGCTACTTTTAGTGACCAGTGGAGGCGCGAATCTCGACGTGAATTGTGATGTGTGCGTGCACGCGTCGCGCATATACATACATATACATATACGTGTCGCGCGCGCACGTGCGTGCGTGCGTGTGTCTCGGCGTTTTTTAGTAGATAAGTGAAAATATACGCATAGGCAGAGATGATTGAGACAAGTGTGTGAGAGGAAGGAGGAGAAAGAGAGAGAAAGAGATATACACACACACACACACACACACACACATACTTGACATCGACTGTTACGAGCGCGTCATGCTCGACGTGACGTCATTTGCAGTTATTAGAGATTTTCACGATCATGCGTCTTATGGGTCTCTCACCCAGAGACGACGTGGCTGCGTTTCTCGTCGATCGAACGACTCTCGAACTCGTGGTCGCGACGGTCCGCGAATTATTTCGAGAACCATCCGCAGTTCGAGTGAACTTGGTCGATATCATGAGCGAGGAATGAAGTTTAGTTTTTTATTAAACGTTTCCTCTTTACGTTGGAATTCTTCTCTCGAGCTTTTTTTTCGCCGCAGCGAGATTGAGATTCTGCTTCCAGTCACAATCACGCTTCGTTATTATTGCCCATCTCGGCGTACCAGCTTATTCGGTACATACGTTGTGATCTGTCGTGAAAGTTGCTTCCTCCTTAAGGTGTATTCGTAGTGAAAATAATTCATTGCAGCAATAATTCGTCAATAACATTCGGGAGTAACGGTGACTCTGCGAACGAAGTGAAATCGCGTAATCGGCGTATCGAGGGAGTTTTGCAATATATCGCCGTTATCGCAACGTGCACAATTAATGCGATTACACGATTACACCGTGCGTTATGATGAATGAGAGTTGGCATAGCGAGCAAGTGCTGCGTCCAAGTGTGCGAGAGCGGCAAAGGAACGACCACGCTGAGTGCCGATAAACGATGGCATGTGCCGTTACTTCGTTCCGCGATTTGACGATTAACGGATCGGTCCTCAGTCTTAACGTAGGTGATCGCTTCTTTTCGCGAAGAGGAAGGGCTTTCGTTCGCTCGAAAGTCGGGACTCCATTGCAATATGCGTTTCGCATAAGCGAAACGCTTGTATCTCGTCCGACGAGGGCACGATATAAACCGGCGAATTTTCAGGACCGGCCAGTGATATAACGTGCGAGCATGAGAAAACCGCGTTGGAACATTTTCCGAATTCCTATTAAAATTTACTTCGCGCGGCTTAGGGTAGCTTCGGGTCAGATCAGTTTGTATTAGTTACGTCGCGAGATATATAGTTAGTTAGGACCGCGAGACTCCGGCGGTGATCGGATTCTCCGGTATATCCTGTATACGTGTTATAGTCCGAGTGAGATATGATAATCGTCTCAGGATCGCCCGAAGAGAGATCGACGGAATGGCTATTACCGAATTCTTGGCCGGGCCATGGTCTTAACGATTGCCGAATAACCGTTATCCCTGATTTATAGTACGGAGTATATACACGAGAACGTGAGTAAAAAAGTGATAAGCGGCCGATAACTGTTATCCCGGTCGTGCTCGAAGTTTCGGACTCGAGTTTCTCGAGATTTTAAAGAGAGCTAGAGATGGTTCTTCTTTTTTGGCCTTTTTCCTCTTGCCTACGAATGCATCTCCATCTTTGAGAGAGTTTTCCGCGATGCGCGCTCGACTTGTTATCCGTGTAGATCCGCGGATTTTCGCGTTTTACATCGCGGCCAGCCGAACTCGCGCGGCTTCACACGAATTATTGATCAGGATGCAGGATTGCACGGTAAACGGCGAATGGATCGTAAACGGTTCGTCTCTCTCTCTCGGCACAGAGAGGTCACACTTGTCATAGTCTAGTTACATTAATGTCTAGAGGCACGGCCTTGGCGATTAGTCAAATAAAAGCCCTTTGATGCGTTAGTATCATTGTGTCTCCATTGGTGTATGAATATCCGTGCGCCAGCGAACTCGATCGAGGACACTCGAGCAAAGTGATACAATGCGAGCAATAATCGTCACACTTATGTGCGCGCGTGAATCGGCGAAAAAAAAAAGAAAAAAAAGAAAGGAAAATAGAAGTGAACAGATATTTCAACAACGGCTCGACCTGCCTCTGCACTCGCACGACGCATGACGCGGAAGTCACATGCAATTTGCAAGATCGTCTCGATTTCCTCAAAGCGTATCGGGCGATTAACCCAATTACGCGACCGATCCATTAGCTGTGTATATTACATTAGCATCTGCATATTATATATCACCTATGTGCATGATGCACTCACAGTAATTAGGGACATACTCTTTCGGAATATACGGCCACTCCCGCGATCTTTCCTTCGGCGGCCTTAAATTCAATGCTCGCAGCTCCATTTACTCGAATTCGCTGTAACACTCGATATTGGTACGCTCCCCTCGCCCGTCTCTTGGTTCTTGCATCTGTGCATCGTCAGTCTCTTTCTCTCTCTCTCTCTCTCTCTCTCTCTCTCTCTCTCTCTCTCTCTCTCTCTCTCTCTCTCTCTCTCTCTCTCTCTCTCTCTCTCTCTCTCTCTCTCTCTCTCTCTCTCACCCCTGTCATCATCGTAATATCGCACATATCATAGCCCTACATGGAACAAACACACATCGCGTCACACACATCACACACGTACATATTAGCACTTGTCTCTCACGCACTTGTTGTATACTTCCCGATCCCCTCTACCATCTGTGTTTGTGCACTAGTACGTGTTACTCACCTGTACCTCAGTATGTTTTCTGTGCAACATCGTCACACCACCGTTTCCCCGCCTCTCGTAGCCGCGGATCGCGTCGCATCGCATCGATCCGACGTCGTTCACGCCTTTGTGACCGACGAGCTTCAAGTTCTCGCACGGTCGTTCGATTCGGATTCAGAGCGACGCGCGCGCGGGAAGATGGCTATTGTTATACGCAAGTCGCACCCTCGCACACATCATGAATTCCTACGTGCATAAACTCCAGAGTTAGCGCGACATGGCATCGCCCGGGTCTGTCGTGTCCGGAAACGGCACGTCATGAACCGCGCACGGAGATGGATCACGCACGCCAAAGGATCAAAGGGTACAAGGATACCCTTACGCTACTTAGGCAGCGATGAGATAACGAGCGAGATCGCGTTTCTTTCGCCCAAGTCCCCGAAGACTCTCTTTCCCCCGGTCTTTCTTCCTCATCTCTCGCGGCGAGATTCCTCCTACGAGTGTCCCGGCACACGTGATAGCTACGCGAAAGGAACCACCGATCGACCCTGGTTCCCTGTGCTTTCTTTTCACCTTGGCTACGCTAAGAGAGTGTTATAGGTCCCCTAGATCACTTTGAGCGAGCGGAGTGACAGGTCTCTCGCGCACGACAGAAGAGCGCGTTACATGCACACACATATATGTATGCCCGGTGTACTTTACATATGCTTTTCGACAGGTGGTGATTACAACCGCTGGACCTACACGAACGGATACGTGAACTCGCCGGCCTGGCACATGGCTTACCGTGTGAACCAGGTGCGTAACGTAATGGTTCACGCAACACCACGCACCCTGACTAATCGATTCTTACCGCTGTACCCACGTTGAGCGGGATGCCCAATACCGCACACTGATCAGGCTAAGAAAGTACCACGCTACACGCCAATGAAGCTCGCGCGAAGTAAAACGAGGGGATCGTAAACGAGTCGCTGAAACAGAAACGAATTGTCCCCTTTATAGCGTACCAACCAGCCTCTGATCTCCGTTCTTTATCACCTTCTTCGATTCTCGCCGAATATTGCGTTTGCGATCGTTTGATTACTCCCGCGCCCTGCTTTCCTGCGGAATTTCAATGCGACCTTCGGGGGGGGGAGGTAGGAAGCCACGAACACATTGTACAACACGGTGTGTTACAATGATACAATTAGACCTCTGTAAGAATTTTGTCGTTGTTGAAAAAACTCGTTTTGCTTCGTTTTTGCTATTATCTGCGAATGAATGGGATCTCTGAGTCTCGCGTTTCGGTGTTCCCGAGACTCGGAATGCCCGACGACAAAGTCCGCTCCGACGTGCGTGAATGTGCGAAAGCAAAAAATCGTGCCGTTGTTGAGGGAAGACGATCCTGATTGATGACGGCGGATTTCGCCGATAATCTGCGATTATCATCGACGCAGACGAACGAGCTTGTCGCAGCCGCTCAACTCGCGACTTCTCGCTCGTTTGGCGGCTTATAGCTCTGAGTCGCCAGAAATTGCGTGGACTGAGCATTCAGTCGCCGAAATAGCACAACCATAGAATATGGAAAAGTCGTAAAAAGATCTCGAGCAACAGGACGATAATTGTATAATGTTAATGTCATTGACACATCGAGCGTGTGCTATTCCATACACACTTCTCCTCGTGTTCGTAGAGACGGCTCAAATAGGTTACTGAAAAATTTCGCCTTTTACCTGTGTTACATTTTATGAATTTTTGCAAACAAAGCGCATCCGCCAGTACGAATGTCCTACGTTACCTCTCGCGGTTCTGTTTTCTTTTTTCTTCTTTTTTTTTTTCGTACTGCTTGGATCATTTTCGTTGTCCGGTTTTTCTTTGTTTCTCTCTCTCTCTCTCTCTCTCTCTCTCTCTATTAGCATGTTTTTTTATGTATGCACAAAATATCCACGATGTTCACGTTCTCAGTACACTCGCACCGCACTTTTAGATTGCTGCAATTAGATTCTCTAGAAGCTCTAACGTTATTTAATACGTCAGGAAATTCCGTGTGGTTTCCAGCACTTGTTCTAAATCAAATATATGCGTGCAACTGTCATATATTAATTAATTTATATTAATACCGATTGTACATACACGCGATCAGAATTACATCAGAGAAGGAACCCGTAATAATAACATTACAATAAGAATACCTGATACCTCGCAAATCAAGTTCAATCAAAAAAAGCAATGAACTATGTGCGTTAAGTGTCAATTCAAAATATGCTTCTTTGCAACCTGTGATTTCTTTTCTCTTCTACTTTCTTATAGCGGACTGTATATTCTACAAATCGGCTGAATACTTGCGTATCGTCGTGTAGCATTAACGCTGCAAATTAACGTAGAAATTTGCATTTGTTGAAGCATGACGTGACTTCTATCGACTTGGACAAAGTTGCACTGATTATTCGTTGTCGGTATCAATGGCATAATAATTAAAGGTAACAGCGCCAGAGTTGTGTCGGAGCGGAACTTTCTGTAGTCATCAGGCAGCAACGCAGCTCTCGATCAGAGAGCGCACAGTGAAATGTAAAACGGGACAAAGTTTCTTGGACGTACATCCGAACTTGTGTCCAAAGTATTTGTGTGCTGTCTCATTTTCCAGAATTACTTAGCTCTTGTAGTATCAAGCAATTTCCCATTAACCTCGAGTACGTCACCCCCTCGTCACGTTCTTACGTTAGTCATATTAGTCTGTGCTATATTACTAGTCTACTGTTCAATCTCTCCTGCCTCCCTGCCCAGAACGTGCGTAGAGATGTGAATTTTGCTCATGCTGTGTAATGCCACGAAGTTGCATTAATCGAACGATCGCGAGATGAACGGCACGCTGATTTTTTCATGGTACGCTACGCACGTCTAGGAAAAGTAGCTTTCCACGAGGATCGAAAAAGACACGAAAGAGAGTTTATCGCCGGCGCTGTGTGTCGGAAAGAGCCGAAAGAGAATAAAAAGAAAGCGAAAAAAAGAGACGCGATCGCCGTCGAGCCGCCAGTACGATGATGTTGAATAATTAGCAGCGGAATATTCGCGCTTCGAGATACCGGTCGCGCTGCACGTGAAATCGAGCATCTATCTACTGCCTTACGTTGAGCTGTGATAGTAATGGAGAAAAAAAAGAAAAATAATTATAATCCAGCGGGACGTGTTAGAGAACCTTCCGTCTCGCGAGTCTCGCGTTCTTAATACCGTGTTACTTTCAACGAGCGACCAGCTAATAAACGCGATCGTTAAACTCACATCTCTAGTTGCAGCGTGGTACTGAACGTTCCCGCATCTTATTCATGCTCACACCACCGTACAACACACGAAATACGAATGTACACGTATATCTAGTCATACGCGTGCACACACACACACACACACACACGCCCACACAAAGACACAAATACATGTACACTGACATCTACGTCAGTTATGAACTATTTAGGAACCTTTTGGAACCATTACGTAGCGCCCCTGTCACGAATCACGAACGTATTTTTACCACCTGTCACGATGTCTCGTCTCACGTCAACCCCCCGATCTCAATTGTGTAAAGTCCATTCTCGATTCACGTTCACACGCTCACTCAAATGTAATTCTCATCACAGTATCTTTACAGTGTATGTGTATGGACACTATAAGAGATTACCCTCGGTTATAACTCTATGTCCTCTTCTCTTTCTCAATTTATTCGCGGATTTCACATTGTTTACCAGTAGTAGTAGGGGGGAAAACGAGGTACGCTCGAGCGAGGCGTCAGAGCAGATACGAACAATTCGAGCAATCTCTGCACCGTGAAAAAAAAAAGAAAGGACTTGCGATCTCGGAAACGCAGAGAAAGAAGTTGAACTTCCGACAAATGCAAGAGATCCGCATCGACGATATTCTATTGCGATGGGTGATACATCGCGGATTGTTCGGATATTCCCCGACGTTTGAGGAGCTGAGAGACCTCTTTTCCCCGCTATGAATTTCCCTGATAATTCAAGTTACCATAGTTATCGTTCGCTGTAACGGATGTTCACGAATTCAGCAATAATGCCTGATGCCTGGGGTGAGCGATAGAATTTCGTAACCGATGTGTGGATATTGTGTCCCGTGTCTCCTTCGTTTTTACCGTGAATTCTAAAGAACCATCTTTCGTGCTTCTCAGCATCGTAACTCGATAGTGTGGTTCAGGGGATCAATATATAAATATAACCCAAGCGTGACAGCCGCACGACTGTTATATATCGAGTAGTCAATCGCGGAACAACTTGCAGCGGACCCATTTTATAAACAGTTAACCCTCTGTCGTATCCCACGTTCGTTCTTTCAAATGATCTCGTTTTCAGATGTTCTTTTAATAAC